TATTTCTTTCACAGATGGCTAGGACACACACACCTTTATCTGTTGGACGTGGTGCTGGACGTGGTGCTACCCGGGGTGATGGTCAAATTGGGGTTCATCAAACTAGAAGACAGACTGCTCCTCAACCTCAAGTTGGGAACATGGTTCAAACCCAAGTTGTTATGCCAGATCAAGTGCAAGAGCAGGGAGTTCAAAACGCTCCACCACCAGTACCAACTGTTGTACCTATTGTTGCCTTACCTGCAGATGCAGTGGCAAGGTTACTGAATGTGTTAGAGGCATTGGTGCCTACTCAGGGCGAAAGTTCAGCTCCTTAGGCTACTTTACAGGCACAAGCACCTGCACAGACTCAACCTTTTGGGAATAAGGAAGTATCCCTACACGAGTTTCTGAAATTGAAATCACCAAAATTCACAGGTTCCGATAATTCAGCAGATCCTCAAGGTTTCTTGGATGGGACACTCAAGGCATTATGTGCTCTTGGATGTTCTAGTGAGAGAGCCGTGGAGCTAGCAGTATACAAACTAGAGGATATGACCAACACATGGTATGAAACTGTATTGCTAGGAAGGCCAGCAGGAGCAGCACTACTGACATGGGACGAGTTCACTAAGTTGTTCAAGAATCATTTTCTTCCAGACAGTCTGATGCAACAATATGCTAGAGACTTTGAGAGATTTGTTCGGACTCCAGATATGGATGTGTCAACATATAATACTAAGTTCTGTAAGCTGGCTATATATGCTCCTCACTTAGTGCCTACCGAAGAAGCTCGAGTTCAGAGGTTTGTTGATGGATTGGTTGTTCGTCTATACACTGCAGTAGCCCCACAGATGAAGACTTTATCCTACTCTGATGTGGTCGACCTTGCTAGAAAGATTGAAAACAAAGGACGTGAGGAGCGTGCAACTAGTGATTTACGTAAGATGGCCAAGATAGAAGGGGCTTTCAGTGGTGGTTTTAGTGAAAATAGAGGAGCAGGAAATCAGGGACAACAACAACAACAGGGTTCTCAAACAGGGACTCACATGTCTTTACAGTCCACATACAAACCACATTACAGACAAGGTAATAGGGGACCATCATCTTCTGGACATCGTAATTCTGGGCAGATATATGCCACTACTCAAGTCTTCCAGACTTGTGATAGATCACATTTGGGCCAATGACGTGTTCTAACTGGAGAGTGCTTTCGGTGTGGCCAGTTGGGACATCACTTGAGGGATTGCCCTCAGCCTCCAAAAAATTTCAACCAGGCTTCTACTCAGTTAGCTGCAGCGACTCAGACTACTCGTAATACTTCAGGTGCTACAGGTACAGGAAATAGAGGTCGAGGTGTTGGAGACCGTGCTACTATAAATCAAGGACAAGGAAATGTTGGTAGAGCTCAGGCGAGAGTTTTTGCATTTACTAGACAGGATGCTCAGGCCTCAAATGCAGTGGTTACAGGTATTCTTTCTGTCTGTTCATTTGATGCACTTGCGTTGATCGATCCGAAATCTACTCACTCCTATGTGTCCTCGTACTTTGCTTTGAAATTTAGTAGACAATCCGAGCTATTGAATGATCCTTTTCTAGTTGCTACTCCTGTTGGAGAGTCTCTATTAGCTGAATACGTGTATTGTGCTTGTCAGATTCGGGTTAAGGGTAGAGATACTCTAGCTGACCTTATTGTACTCGATATGATTGACTTTGACATGCTGATGGAAATGGATTGGTTATCTTCTTACTATGCTATAGTCGATTGTCATACAAAGATAGTTAAGTTTGAGATACCAAATGAACCCAGTTTTATTCTAAGAGGGAGTCAGGTTTCAGAGACTTGCAAAATTGTATCTTTTATGAAGGCTCAACGACTTCTGAAGAAAGGTTGTTTGGGTCTCTTAGCTATTGTAAATGATACAAGAAAAGAAACAGTTAGTATATAAAATGTACCAGTAGTGAGAGAATTTTCTGATGTATTTCCTGAGGATTTACCAGGATTGCCTCCAATACGAGAAATAGACTTTGGTATTTATTTGCTACCTGACACACAACCCATATCGATACTCCCATATCGAATGGCACCAGCAGAGTTGAGGGAGCTAAAGCAACAATTACAAGATTTGTTAGATAGGGGCTATATTAGACCTAGTGTATCACCATGGGGTGCACCAGTACTGTTAGTAAAGAAGAAAGACGGATCCCTGAGATTGTGCATTGACTATAGACAGTTGAACAAGATAACAATACGCAATAAATATCTTTTGCCTCGTATAGATGACATGTTTGATCAGTTACAAGGAGCTGCTCACTTTTCAAAGATTGACCTCCGTTCTAGTTATCATCAACTTAGAATCAAAGATGAAGATATTTCTAAGACTGCTTTCAGAACTCGATACGGGCACTATGAGTTTCTTGTGATGCCTTTCGGACTAACAAAGGCTCCAGCTGCATTCATGGATTTAATGAATAAGGTGTTCAAGCCGTTTCTGGATAGATTTGTAATAGTATTTATTATCCTGATATATTCTCATAGCCAAGGAGAACACGAGGATCACCTCAGGACTGTGTTGCAGACATTTCGAGAACATAGGCTTTTCGCTAAGTTCTCGAAGTGCGAATTCTGGCTAGACTCGGTAGCATTTTTTAGGCATGTTGTATCCAAAGATGGAATTATGGTAGATCCTAAGAAAACTGAAGTTGTGTAGAAATGGCCCAGACCTACTTCTCCTACAGAGATTCACAGCTTTTTAGGCTTAGCAGGCTATTATAGGCGTTTTGTGCATGATTTCTACAGAATAGCAGTGCCACTGACCAAGCTAACACAGAAAAATGCAAAGTTTCAGTGGACAGAGGAATGTGAGCAAAGCTTTCAGAAACTCAAAACGTGTCTGACAACTGCACCAATATTAGCCTTACCATCAGGTTCTGGAGGATGTACAGTATTTTGTGATGCCTCAAGGGTAGGATTAGGATGCGTTCTCATGCAAAATGGCTGTGTTATAGCTTATGCTTCGAGACAATTGAAAAAGCACGAGCAAAACTATCCTACACATGATTTGGAAATGGATGCAGTGGTATTTGCTCTAAAAATTTGGAGGCATTATCTATACGGCAAAACTTGTGAGATTTATACTGACCATAAAAGTCTAAAGTATATCTTTCAGCAGAGAGATCTAAATCTTCGGCAGCGTCGTTGGATGGAACTACTCAAAGACTATGATTGTTCTATTTTGTATCATCTTGGAAAAGCCAATGTGGTGGCTGATGCATTGAGTAGAAAATCTATGGGGAGTTTGGCACATATATCCCCTGCAAAGAGACTTTTAGCCAAAGATATTCAGAGACTAGAAGATACAGGTATCAGATTTAGTGTTGAAATTCAGAGGCATTGTTGGCTTGTGCTCAGGCTAAGTCTTTATTAGTTGAGCGCATTAAGACCACCCAATATGAGGATGAACGATTATGTAAATACGAAGATGCAGTCTTAGCTGGTAAAAGCAAGGATATGATTGTTAAAAGTGATGGTGTTCTTCGAATGGGTGACAGGCTATGTGTAGCAGACGTAAATGGGTTGAGACATGCTATTCTTAAAGAAGCTCACAACACTAAATACACTATACATCCTGGATCCACAAAAATGTACCATGACCTGAAGCAATTTTATTGGTGGGAAGGTATGAAGAAAGATGTTGCTAACTTTGTTTCTAGTTGTTTGACTTGTCAGCAAGTCAAGACTGAGCATCAACGACCCGCAGGACTACTACAACAAATAGAGATTAAAGAGTGGAAATGGGAAAGAATTACTATAGATTTTGTCACCGGGATACCACGAACCCTTAGAGGTTGTGACTCGGTATGGGTGATTGTAGATCGACTGACGAAATCAGCATACTTTTTGTCGGTGAAGACTACATATGGTGGAGTCAGGTATGCATAGATATTTTTGAACGAAATTGTCCAACTTCACGGAGTTCCAGTATCCATCATCTCTGATAGAGGATCACATTTCAATTTACACTTTTGGAAATCTTTTCAAGAAGCATTGGGTACACGAGTAGATCTTACTACTGCATTTCATCCACAGACAGACGGGTAGTCTAAACATACTATTCAGATCTTGTATGATATGTTGAGAGCTTGCATTCTTGAGTTTGGAGGTAGTTGGGACACTTATCTACTATTAGCTGAATTTGCTTACAACAATATCTTCCAGTCTAGTATTCAAATGGCACCGTACGAAGCATTGTATGGTAGAAGATGTCGTTCTCCTATCGGATGGTTTGAAGCTGGTGAGACTAACTTATTGGGACCCGACCTAGTACAAGAAGCTATGGGCAAGGTCCAGTTGATCAGACAGAGATTGCTTGCAGCTCAAAGTAGACAAAAGTCTTATGCTGATAAGAGAAGAAGAGATTTAGTGTTCACAATTGGGGACAAAGTGTTCCTACGAGTCTCCCCTATGAAAGGTGTGATGCGGTTTGGGAAAAGAGGCAAGTTGAGCCCTAGGTTTATAGGACCGTATGAGATATTAGACCGAGTGGGAGCGGTGGCTTATCGTTTGGCACTTCCTCCTGAGTTGTCCTTTATTCACTCAGTGTTTCATGTCCCAATGCTAAGAAAATATATATCAGACTCATCTCAGGTGATTGAAGCACCGACTATACCACTCGATGAGAAGTTGTCCTATGAGGAGGAGTCGATGGCTATTGTTGATAGTCAAGTAAGAAAGTTACGGTCAAAAGAAATTGTGCTCGTTAAAGTCTTATGGAGAAATCATACTGTTGAAGAAGCTACATGGGAAATAGAAGATGTTATGCGAGTCAAGTATCCTCATTTATTTCAGTCTACAGGTACGTACCAGAATTAAATTCGGGGACCGAATTTCATAAGGTGTGGAGAATGTAATACCCTATATATTAATAAGGGCATATAAGTCTTTAACCAATATATATATATATATATATAATAATAATAATAATAATAATAATAATAATAATAATAAGAGAATGGACTAAAGCCCATTGGAAAGAGAAACTAAAAGGGCAAAAGGCAGCAAGCTGCTGCTAAACAATAGAAGCTACAAAACGCTAAGAAAGAAAGAAAAAAAATAGAATGAAGAGAAGCGGAATCGGGTGAGCGGCGACCATAGTTGGAGAAGAAAAGTGAGGGAGGAAACTATAATTCAGGTATTTATCCCTATACATGACACTAACCTTACACATAATTTACTTTGTAATTATCTTACCAATTATCTAGAGACAAGGGAATAATATAGCAATGACTTCTGGGAATTAGATATAGAAGAAACAAATATGCCGCTAGAAAGAAATTACTACTCTTCTACGGGATTTATTCTTTTAAATTTAAGGAATGATGATTACCTAATAATTGGGGCAGAACGGGTGTGGAGTAATAATTGTCTAATGATGGTAATTAATATACATATTAAAGAGTTGAATTAAATATAGGTTATGTGCACAATGTTAATAAAAGAGTACACGATGTGTTTCCGGTTCTGCTATACAATGTTTCAAAGTTTATTGTCTTCAATTTTAATTCTAATGATTAGCTAATTATTACATGATTATTGAGAATTTTCGTCCTAAAGAATCAATAGAACTTTATGAAATTGGATTAATAAATTATATGAATAGGTTGTAGTTAATAGATTAGTAATTACTCATATGTGGGTAACTATAATTCGGCAAATTAAGAGTTAAATATAAAACTCGGAGGATTGGATATTCTAAACTAGTGATGGATTTAGCTTAAATGAGGCAATTAACACGAGATCGATGTTGATGTGGTTATAGATTGATTGAAGAAAATTGTATGAATCGTTCGAGGTGAAGAGTTTGGTATTTCGCACGATTACTGTGAGTAGTAATCTTACCGCAATTTGTGTTTTCATAACTTGCATGATTTACACATGATTTTTAATATAAATATGTTACCGATTATTTTGAGTTGCATGTGGGACAAGTTTTTTACTCGATATGATACCGAAATAGCTATTTGAGAAGATTACCATTGTTTTAAATATTTTCGTTGTCACTAGATCTGTTATCGTGACTTGAATTTACTGTTATCAAAAAGAAATTATATGATTTGATAAGAACCGAAATGCCTTATATTGTATTAAAATATTTTCTATGAGTATATACGGATTACAGAGACAAGTATAAATGGGAGTAGACATTGAAGGATACTGTAGCCAACGGCGGGTTTGTTAGACCTGGTGCTCCTTGTACTTACCGACTATACAGTACAGTTATAGCCCTCGCTAGTGGGAAGATAGAACTAGTATACTGTTACCGATTTCCCTCTGGTAGGGACTACCGTTATATTTGACTTCTTGCGAAGAAGTCCACAGTTATACCGATTACATGATCCGTTCATTGAAACCTCCCAAAATGTGAATACTGATATTATATAGTAGTTACCGAGCTTATTACTGAATTGTATTTGTATTATACTACAAGAAAAGTATAATGAGACTAAAAATTATTTATTGTTTCTGAAAGGGCATTTTTATGTTGTTTTCAGTTTGATATACTAGCATGTTTTTGAATTGTCCCCAAATAAAAACAGTTGTGGTTAAGTGTTATTACTCACTGAGCTAGTGACTCATTTCCCGCTAATTGTTTTTTATAGAGACAGCAGTTGACGCAGGCGAGGATTTCGTTAATTAGAGCGCACATGTTGATATTTCTCGCTGAGCCTCGCACTTGTTCGCGTGGGCAGAGATTTTATTTATTGTTATGGTCTTTTTATTGAACTCTTAGAGTCGCTCCATTATCATTATTTTAGTGTCATGAGTATTCTTTTGTTATTATGGTTTTATGTCGAGTATCGTTCTCATTTATCAAAGTTGGAGATAAATTAGTATTTCTAGTGGTTGGTTGGTGATTTAGTTATGGTGGAGACTTGTATTAGTTAATTGGCAAGTTTTCAATTGTTTGGTATGATATTAGGATGTTTGGTTGTTGATTTGAGACAGGAAATTTTTTGGGATGGTCCAAAATCAGGGGAAACTCTGTCCGATTTTTTGTAAAATTATCGATGAGGCTTACTTGGGAGCACTTGCTCCTAAGCGCCGGTCACAATCCTAATTTGGGTTGTGATAGGAGTGCTATTGAGGCACGGGTGGTCCTGTTCGTTTGATCAGGCTAATTGTAGTTCGAATAGAGTGAATGACTCTCGAGAACGATTCTAAGGTGTTCAAGATTTTACATGTAACAATTAGGTATTTTCAAGTTGTATATGTGGCTAGAAACTGAGTTTTCATTGGAAGATGTCAGGACTTGTGGTATTTTATATATTAATTATGGGATTCTATATATCAGTATCAGGAAGGTGAAGGTAATGACTTCGGATTCATAGGAAGTCGCTTCAGGGTAAGCATTTTGAACGTGGTGCAGTTGGGAATATTTAAGAGAGATTTCGGTGGCTTGTGAGCCTTAAACGATGTGGTTTTATGCTTGGGTCTCATGTGGTGAGTCTGGGTTGAGGAATTGTGATGTTACGGCAAGGCAAAGTATTAATTTGAAGGTAATTTAGAAGGAACTAGTATCAATAGGATAGCTTGGTAGTTGGCCGGATCCACATGGTAAAGATATGATTAGTCCTTTGGGTGATTACGAGGTAATGAGTTTCTGCGGGTGTTTCCGATAATTCTCTTGGGTTTTTAGTGGCCTGCGTAGCTTAGTTGAGTTAGAAGGATTCAGTTCGAATGATTTAGTTTTGTGCGAATGGAATTTGAAAAGTTCTTGATGATTCTACCATGGTTAGAGGTGTGTATTTTCCACGGGCATGAAGAGCAGGGGATGTATAGTTATTTTCTCCCAACTGAGGTCCAATAGAAAAGTTCTTGGCTAGTTGAGTACGTAGTTGTGTGTGACTCGGAATGGATATGAATTTCTCATATTTACCTTATGTCGGTATGGTATATGCGGTATGTTGTGCAAGACTTAGATTTGCATGTGTAAGGTCATATATCAGTTCTGAAAGGAAGGCCACAATTCTTAGGCAGCAACGATAGTTTCAGATAATTAGAGAAATGAGCTTCAGATGATTTGGGAAATGATCTTCCGATGATTAAGGAAATGGTAATGCTAATTGGAGTGATTTGACGAGGGTATATTTTTCAGAAAAAGGCAATGTGATTAAGTTGATGTTACTTCGGTAGTGTTGCAGCACTCTCTTGCTATATCTACTGCTGATATTCGAGTTTGCTTGGTGGCACAAAAGAATTTTAGAGTATCTCTCGTGGAATGATTGAGTATTAGAGGTATGGTATGTATTTAGATGACGAAATTGGTATCGTATATGATGATTTGTGTACCATATGGATTTGGAGACGGGAAGGTCTCACAAACAGGTTATGTTGTGGTTGTAGGTCATGTGAATCGGCGCTGCTTAGTGACTATCAGGTTTGGAGACCCGAGTGGATCTTGTGCTGCTTGCTATGTTAGATTCTGATGTAATATTGGGTATAGACTGGTTGTCTTTGTGTCATTTTATTCTGGACTATTGCGCTAAGGCGGCGATGTTGGCTATGCCAGGAATGCCACGAATTGAGTGGCGAGGTTCGACGGATTTCATGGCCTAGTCGAGTGGTTTTATATTCTAAGACCCAGCATATGGCTAGGAAGGATTGTCTTTCTTATTCGGGCTTCCATGATGGATGTCAGTGCAGAGACTCCTACCATTGATTCAGTTCTGGTGGTGAGGGACTTTTCGGATGTGTTTCTTGTGGTTGGACATGTCGCCGGCCGGGGTTGTTGATTTCGGTATTGATTTGGTGCTGGGCACCGTATCGTATGGCACCGGTAGAGTGAGGGAAGTTGAAGGAGTAGCTTCTGGAACTCCTTGATAAGGGGTTTATTAGTAGACCTATATGGATGTGTGTTCTGCATCGAGACGGCCTTGTTTACTTCGAGTCACTATTGGTGAGGGATGTGTTGATTCAGTTGTTCTTGAGCTATTAGTGTTATGAGGTGATCTATGAATTACTTTTCTCTGTTGCGAGACGTTATGATTTGTTGGTTATAGGCACAGATGGTGCGGTTCCATTGGGGTTTCATAGTGGAAGTCGAGCGGGAAAGAGTACTGGTTATTGCTCGGTGGATGGCGTATCGGTTGTGTCCCTTCGGGTATGTGTAATGTTATGTCAATTTCTTTGTAGTGATTATAATTATTGCCTTTGTTTTAGACACCATATTGCGCATGGTTGTCGATTTTTGAGCATAGTCACTTGAGGTGTTTCATGTGGACTAGTGTGTGGATGAGGTCGCGCATTGGAGCGAAGCTATGTGGACGGTGTAATCCTGTGGGTTAGATTTGTGTGTTTTGGTTCTATGATGTGTGACGGGTTCTCAGCATTGTGTTGTGGTGGTACTGGGGAGCTTGTGGTACAACTCTTTCATTTGAGTCATTTTCATGATTTGAGTATGTTCGGATTGTTGCTTATTGGTGCGCGAATTTCACAAGTTGAGGCTTTAGCCTGTATTGATGTGTCATGTCACTAGAGTAGTGTGTTGGATTAGATGAGATCATTAGGTTCATTAATGAATATAACGGATTCAGTTTCAACATGTTGGAAGGATAATATCGAGGTTCGGCTCAGAAATTTGCTATGGTATTTGCCAAAGGAGAAGTGGCTTCATGAATGGTTGATCTGAGCGAAGGTTATGGTTTACTGCGTGTTTCATTTATCATTGGCAGTATATGGAAGTATTGGAATGAGACTTTAGTTGATAAGAGTTTTTCTATCGGTATTCGGGTGTTGTGTGCAGCTGCCGTGATTAGAAGTTATCACTACAAGTGTTTGAGTTATGTGGTATATCATATGATTTCACCTGAGGTTGCAGGTATGGGTTATTACAGCTTGTTCGGGCTTATGCAGAGTATAGATGTGAGATTTTAATCTTGTGGATGATTTCAGGAGTGGAAATGTAGTTCTAAGGTTTGTGGGCTAGGCTGGATTGTGAAATTTCGGTTGCGTGGTGTTATCGGGTATATGAGACAGGGTGACGGGGGTCACCCCTGGGTATTTGCATGGTAAGGTTATTCAGCGATTGGTTGGCTTTTGGAACAACTCTAAGCACGTTCGAGGACGAATGTATGTTTAAGTGGGGGAGAATGTAACGACCCGACCGATCTTTTTGAGCTTTTGTACCTTGCTTGTCAATTCTTGGGCATGACTTGCCCCGTGTGATGTGTTGTGACTTATGTAAATCGTTGGTTTTGGTTTTCAGGGTAAGAGGAATGAATTTGGAAGAACAGTTCTCAGTTTGAAGCTTGAAATTTGAAAAGTTTGATCAAGATTTGACTGGTTGCTATATGATCTCGGATCGGAATTTTTATGATTTGGTTAGCTTCGTTAGGTGATTTGGGACTTAGGAGTGTGATCGGAATGCATTTTGGAAGTCCGTGGAAGGTTTAGGCTTGAATTGGCGAAATTGAGATTTTGGCGTTTTCCGGTTGATAGGTGAGATTTTTATATAGGGGTCGGAATGGAATTCCAAAAGTTTTAGTAGCTCCATTGTGTCATTTTTGACGTGTGTGCAAAATTTCAGGTCATTCGGACGTGGTTTCGTTGGGTTTTTTATCAAAAGCGTAATTCGGAAGATTTTGAAATTCTTAGGCTTGAATTCGATGCAAATTTGGTGTTTTAATGTTTTTTTTAGTGTTTCGAAGGTTGGAACAAGTTTGAATGGGGTTATGGGGTATTTTGGCATGTTTGGTTGAGGTCCCGAGGGCCTCGGGTGAGTTTCGGGTGGTCAATCGGACCATTTCATGTTGTAAAAAATTGCAGAATTGCTGTTGTTGGTGTTGTGGGTTTTTGACCTTCGCGTTCACATGCATGTCCTGCATTCGCTAAGGGTTAAGGTGCGAGGCTGTGGAGTTGGCCTTTGCATTCGCGATGATGGTTCCGCGATCGCGACGATGTGAGGTCTTTGGTCATCGCGTTCGCGAGGTTCAGGTCGCGTTCGCATAGAGGAAGAAGGATAGATGGGTCCTCAGTGCATTTGTTGTACGCGTTCGCATAGTTGAGGTCGTGATCGTGAGGTGTTGAGTGTGTTGTGCATCACGTTCACGAGAGCTTTCTCACGTTCGTGTAGAAGAGATTTCGGTCAGTGAAGCAGTGTGCTTCGCGAAAGCGAGGGATATGCCGCGTTCACGATGAAGAAATGTCTGGGCAGACAATTTATATTTTAAATTGAGGGTTTAAGTCCAATTTCATAAAAACTATTGGAGAGCTCGGTATTAGGTGGAATTTGAGGAGATTTTCGGTGGAGCTATTGAGGTAAGTATTCTTCACTCATATTTGGTTTAATTCCATGATTTGGTCATGAATTTCATCATTCAATTTGAGAAATTAGAGTGAAAATTGGGGAAAAAAGGAAGAAAAGTTTGAGATTTCTTTTGGACATTTCAATGGGCAATTGAGGTCGGATTTTGATGAATTTGATATGGGTAGACTCGTGAGTGAACGAGGATTTTATTGATGTGATTTTTTATCGGATTTCGAGACGTGGGCCCGGGCGCCGGGTTTGAGAAATTTTGGGATTTTTGATGTAAATTGGATATTTTCAAGTGGGCTTTGTTCCCTTAGCATATTTTAAAGATTATGTACTGATTGCGGCTAGATTTGGATCATGGTCGATTTGTGAGGGCAAAGGCATCGCGGGCTAGAGTTTGGACCGGATCGAGTTGAGTAATGATTGTAAATGATGTTCTGAGGGTATGAAACCCCGGATTGCATATCGTTGTGCTATATTAAGGTGACGCACATGCTAGATGACGAGCGTGGGGTCGTGCACTATAGGGTATTGTGACGTAGTCCATCCCGAATGACTGTTTTACTGCGTATTTGATTGAAAACTATTTGCTATCGTCATGTTTTGGGTTGAATGCCATATTTGGGCCTCGTGCCAATTATTTGAACCCTTCGGGGATTTTTATTAATATTTCCTCACTGTTTTGACTTTAAACTTGTACTCAGTCATGCTATATTCTACTATTTTCAAAACTCAGCCATGTTTACTCTGCTTTAACATTTGAAATGATATTTCAAATAATATTTTAGGCTGAGCACCATGTTTTACTGTTGCCCGAGTGGCTTATGTGATTTTGATTGAGTAAGGCCGAGGGCCTGTGCTATGAGGATACTTTTGGGTCGGGTTACACGCCGCAGCGGTGATACACTGATTATGATTATGAGGTCGAGGGCCTGAGATATGTACGCCACGAGGTGGCTTGTTGATATGAGGCCGAGAGCCTAGTGATGATGCCACGATATGGCTTGATCGCTTAAGCCATAATGGGCCCCTCCAGGAGTCTACACACCCCCAGTGAGCGCGGGTACCCATTGTGATGTGAGATTGAGCCCGATGGGCTGGTATTGTTCTGAGATGTTGCCCGGGGGCGAATTTGTTGGCACGGTGCCTGAGGGGCGATCCTTAATATGTTTATTTTTTCTTAATTGCCTGTCAAATTACCTGCTTAATTGTTGAAAAAGGCTTTTCATGAAGTTAAATTTGAGTTAAATGATTTTTACCTATCTTTCATTGGTTTATTGTTTTAAGGGTTTTACTGCTTCATTATAGCATGACTTGTGCCTTATGTGATTTCCTGCTTTGAGTCTTTATTTATGATTATTACTCACTGAGTTGGAGTACTTACTTTACTCCCTGCACCCTGTGTGCAGATTCAGGCGTATCTAATCCCGCTCCCGAGTACTGATCATTTCCAGCTCAGGCGGATCCAAGGAGTCTCTAGGTAGCTGTCGGCGTTCACAGCCTGGAGCTCTTCCCTATCTTATTTCTTCATGTTCTTAGTTTCTGTATTAAACTCTATAGTTTGATTTGGAGTATTCCGGATTGTTTAGATGCTCATGACTAGTGACACCCCGGTATCAGGCTGTGTTGGGTTATTTTTCTCGAATATACTATTAACTGCTTAAACCTTGGTTTATTGGATCATGCTTAGATTGTTTCTTAACGCTTAACTGTTAAATACTGAAATGGGTAGTGTCGGCTGGCCTTGTCTTCACGAGAGGTGTCATCACGACCGGGTCCGGGTTTAGGGTTCGTGACACTTTTAGCAGTCCAATGGCACAAAAGCACCCAGGATTTCAATGGAGCAATCCAAATGGTGCAGAGAACTCTCAAAGCTTCCAGAAACAACAAGTACAAGGTCTATTGGGATACCAGAATCAGAATCATGGACAACCAAACTATAGATCTTATCAACAAGCAGGGCTATATTAGCAAAGGCCTCAACAAGCTCATTCAAGTCTTGATGACCTTTTGTATAAGTACATTAAGTTCACCGATGAAAAGATGGAAAGCCAGGGTTCAGCCCTCAAAAATCTGGAAATGAAATTAAGTCAACTGGCAACTCTTGTGTCAGAAAAGATTCAAGGTCCCTTTCCAAGCAATACAGAGAAAAATCCAAAGGAGCACGTTAAAGCCATCGCCTTATGGTCAGGTAAGGAGCTTGATGAACCATATGTAGATAAGTCAAAACAATAGGTAAACAAGGGTAAGAATGTTGAAATACCTTCTGAACTATCTGAAGATAAAGAATTCAAGAAAAAAGAAGAAAAGAATATTGAAAAATTGACTCCTTTCTCTGTGACAATTCCTTTTCCACAAAAACTGAAAAGAGAAAATCTTGATAATCAATTTTCAAAGTTTTTAGAGATTTTAAAACAAATTCACATTAATATTCCTTTCACTGATGCTTTGTTGCAAATGCCTTCTTATGCCAAATTCCTAAAAGAAATTTTGCCATGTAAAAGGAAATTGGAAGAAGTTTCTATGGTGATGCTTACTGAAAAATATAGTGCTATACTTCAAAATAAGCTACCACAAAAACTTGGTGATCCAGGTAGTTTTACAATTCCATGCACTTTGGGAGGGGTATATTTTGAGAAAACACTTTGTGATTCTAGAGCTTTAATTAACATGATGCTATTTTCTATCTTTAGAAAATTAAATCTTGGTGAAATGAAAGACATAGGTGTTTCTCTTCAGTTTGCATATCAAAGTACTAAGAAACCTAAGGGAATAATTGAAAATGTGCTCGTAAGAGTAAATAAGTTTGTTTTCCCTATAGATTTAATAGTACTTGAAATGAAGGAATGTCCTGATGAACCAATTATTTTGGGTAGACCATTTCTTGCCACATGGAGAGCAATCATAGATGTCCATCAAGGACAACTGATTTTGAGAGTTGATGAAGAAAGAGTCACTTTTGATATGCAAAAGATATTAAGATTTTCAGGAGATGAGACATCATCTTCATGTTTTTCGATTGACATGCTTATTTATCTTACATATGAATTCAAAGATGATCAGTTGATTCCAGACTCAATGGAAAGATGTTTGGCCAAATCTGGCACCATACAAGATGATGACCCTATCATCAGAGGAGAAGCCGAAATACTAGAAAAAGATTTTGCAGAGGAGGATATGCAACCAGTACAAGTTTAACCAAAAATTGAACTCAATGTTCTCCCATCTCATTTAAAATATGTTTATCTTGAGGAAGAATTATTTCCAATAATTGTTTCATCTTCTCTTACTGCATGACAAGAAGAAAAACGGATTGAAGTGTTGAAAGCACACAAAGGAGCCTCAGGATGGACTATAGAAGATATCAAAGGGATTAATCCAGCTATTTGTACGCATAAAATTCTCATGGAGGATAGCTACAGGCCAATAGTCCATCCCCAAAGGAGATTGAATTCAGCAATGCAGGAAGTAGTAAAAAAGGAGATCGTAAAGCTTTTGGCGGCAGGTATTATTTATCCCATTTCAGATAGCCCGTGGGTAAGCCCTATTCAGGTAGTACCAAAGAAAGAAGGTATGACGATTATAAAAAATGAAATTAATGAACTTATACCTACCAGAACTGTCACGGGATGGAGAGTCTGTATTGATTACAAACGTCTCAATGATGCCACTAGAAAAGATCATTTTTCTTTACCATTTATTGATCGAATGTTAGAAAGAATTGCAGGATATGGTTTTTACTATTTTCTTGATGGCTATTCAGGGTATAACCAAATACCAATTGCACCTGAAGATCAGGGCAAAACAACTTTCACATGTCCTAATAGAACATATACCTATAGGAGAATGCCATTTGGTCTATGCAACATCCCTACTACATTTCAGCGTTGCATGTCAGCAATTTTTTCTGACATGACCCAAAATTTCTTGAAAATTTTATAGATGATTTTACACTCTTTAGCAAAACATTTGAGGATTGTCTTCATCACTTGACCTTAGTTCTTAAGAGATGTGAAGAGTCAAACTTGATTCTTAATTGGGAAAAATATTATTTTATAGTTATTGAGGGAATTGTTTTAGGATATAAAATCACTGCTAAAGGGATAGAAATTGATAAGGCTAAAATTGATCTCGTAGCAGGATTACCCCCTCCCACAACTGTTAAAGGCATTAGAAGCTTTCTAGGTCATGCAGGTTTTTACAGACGGTTCATAAAAAACTTTTCAAAGATTTCAAAACAGTTGACTAACCTTTTGATGAAAAATATTAAGTTTGTTTTTTAGGTGATTGTTTGAAAGAATTTGAGACCCTTAAGGAAAAGTTATCAATCGCCCCTGTAGTTGTGTCCCCAGACTGGAATCAACCTTTTGAGGTCATGTGTGATGCTAGTGATACAGTAGTTGGAGCTGTTTTAGGCCAGAGAAATGATAAGATCTTTCGTCCCATTTACTATACTAGTAGAACAATGAATGAGGCTCAACTAAATTATGCCACAACAGAAAAAGAGTTATTAGCAGTAGTATTTGCTTTTGATAAATTTCGATCTTATTTAATAAGAAACAAGGTCACTGTTTTTACTGATCATGTGACTTTAAAATACCTCTTAGCAAAGAAAGATACTCGACCTAGATTGTTAAGATAGATTTTGCTTCTACAAGAATTTGACCTTGAGATAAAAACCAAAAAAGGAACAGAGAATCAAGTAGCTGACCATTTGTCTAGATTAGAAAATTCCTCCCTTGAGTTTAGCAAAATAAAAGAAGAATTTCCTGATGAACATACTTTCTCAGTTAACTCAATTGTGACTCAATCACCCTAGTTTGCAGATATTGCAAACTACTTGGCTGGAAAGTGGATACCCCAAGATCTCTCTTACTAGCAAAGAAAAAAGCTTATATCTGATGCAAAGTATTATTTATGGAATGAACCTTACTTGTTTAAAAATTGTGCAGATAATATCATTAGAAGATATGTGCCTAAGGAAGAGATGTACAAAATTTTATATCATTGTTATGATGGAGCAATTGGAGGTCATTATGCAGCAAATCGAACAGCCTTTAAAGTTTTAGAAGCTGGATTTTTCTGGCCGACTCTCTTTAAAGATGCCCGAGCATATGTTGCACAATGTGACAGGTGTCAAAGAACAGGTAACATCACTAAGACAGATGAGATACCATTGCAATCAATACAAGTATGTGAAATATTTGATGTTTGGGGAATAGATTTCATGGGTCTTTTTCCTTCTTCTCATTCTTTTGAATATATCCTTGTGGCTGTGGATTATGTGATGGGTTGAATCCATCCCCACAAGGAAAAATAATGCTCGAATTGTGTGCAATTTTCTCAAAAAAAATATTTTTACCAGATTTGGCTCACCACGAGTCATCATTAGTGACCAAGGGACTCATTTTATGAATAGACAATTTTCTACTTTGCTAAAATATGGTGTGACTCATAAAACAGGAACACCATATCATGCTCAAACTCAAGGGAAAGTTGAAGTTTCCAACCGTGAGTTAGAAAGAATTCTTGAAAAAAATGGTTGGAATCTCAAGAAAAGACTAGGCTTTAAAATTAGATGATGCATTATAGGCATACCAAACGGCATATAAAACGCCAATTGGAACATCCCCCTATAGATTAGTCTTTGGGAAAGCTTGTCATTTGCTAGTTGAATTAGAACACAAAGCTTTTTGGGCACTAAAAGCATTAAACTTTGAATTAGCCGATGCTAGTAAAAATAGATTTTTTCAGGTTAATGAATTGGAAGAAATGAGGTTGGAAGCCTATGAAAATACAAAACTTTTTAAAGAAAAAACAAAAAATGGCATGACAATTTGATCTGAATAAAAAGTTGTAAAATTGGAGATCAAGTGCTTCTTTACAATAGTCGACCCAGGCTATTCCCAAGAAAATTAAAATCAAGGTAGACAGGTCCTTACAATGTAACAAATGTTACTCCATATGGAGCAATTGAAATCCAACAGAACAATGTAGGTGACAAGTTCAAGGTAAATGGTCAAAGACTAAAATTGTACTTTGGAGGACATTTTGAGCAACATTCATCGGTCACTTTGATAGACTGAATGAAATTCACAGGTAATACGTCGAAATGACGACATTAAACTCAGAACTATAGTAACATACCCATAGCCATTGAGGGTGAAGCAATGGAGCCTTATAAGTCCAACATAAGTTTGATAATTAAATGCTTAACCAATTAATCTGGTCAATATCCAGGTTACTGTACAACCAGAGCATCTCATGAAGGCCTCTAAAAAAATAGAGTCACCTACACAAGAGCAACTCAATGGTGATCGATATGCCTAAGTAAATGGTTGGTCAACCATTTAATGTTTCAAAACCGAATGCTGGCTCAGGTAATTTTTGGTTTATATTTAAACCAGGACCAAATGATTGATAAGGTCTTAAATTAGTCAGTCTATTACACATAGAACATGTGTAGTCATAGTTTCTTTCAAGCTTTCTTCTGTGATTGTAAATTTGAAAGCCAAAAAGATTT